GAACAGATATGTCAATGTAGGTACAGAACATACTGTTGAATAAAGTATCTCTTTACTCATGTTATGTGTGTTAGAAGCGTCATCAGCCCCCCCACTCACTCACTGCAAATCCAGTGGGTTATTCTCCACCTTGTTCTCGCATCGGATTCTGCCAACTTTCTGCCGAATTTATAATAGGGGGCAATGCGGAGAAAGTCTGCAGATAATCCGGAGGCTCTAACTGGGACATTTGCGTTCACACATGCACTTCCTCAGGAGAAGGTGTTCAGTGCACGTCTGAAAGCATTTCTGTTTCTTTTACCCTCTTCTGTGACACATAAGTGTTAACTAACACTGCTGGTGTGTTTGTTCCTTGCTAAAGTTTACACACTCTTAAACCTTCCCAGACAACTACAACTAATGTTCGATGTCCCAATCCTTTGCAGATAGGTGGGAATAATCAGTAAATAATTTGTTTGCTTGGCACGGCACATTTTTAAAAAGTTGCTTCTCTCAGCTTCAGAGAGACTCAGTCTTTTATCTGAAACAGGCTCATGCTTGAGACAGGATTAGCTGATAGTTTTATAGGGAATATATTTGATCATAATTTATAAATACGGACCCTGTTGGCTGAGCAATCTCTGTTTCAATTTGTGTTCAATACAAGCTCTAAGTGTACCTGTTGCCTTGACAAATTCAGTAAAATATGCATTACCACAGCAGCAATTCCAAGAGGGCAGCAGTAGTTTACGACATAAAAGAAGCTTTCTGTTTCAAAACACTGATATAGTAACCATAAGAATGTAATTTATAGAGCAATTTTCAAGCAAAAAGCACAATGTACTTGTCAAAGGTGAGAAAACCCAAAACATAATCAACATTAGGGGAATAAAAAAATAAACTCTCACTCAGAGGAAAGAGAGATAAAAGACAGAAAGAATGAAAAGCACAATAAGTTCCAAGTTATTTCCAAAGGTATAAACATTCAAACATTATCCACAGAGTAGGAACATCTCAATGACAGAAAATAGCTCAGAGTGTAGTGTTGTCTCTCAGCCATCATATGAAATTAAGTTTCAAGATGAGATTTAAAAGCAGTAACCTGGAACTCATTACAGGACTCAGACTACAGAGCTAAGGGGCTTGTTTGGATGGAAGTGTGTATGTGTACAGAGCTGGGGAGGCTCAGTTATATACTCAGGCACTTCATCATTCACAGTCTTGTGAGCAAAAACAATATAAACTGGATTCTAAGAGACTGGAAGCCAGTGCAGTGAAGCCAAGAATGGTCTAATGTGAGAATCGCTTGTGTTTATTTTGCTCTTAAACTACTGTCATTCATCAGCTTGCTATGGTGTGAACATAAAACGACAAAGCGATAAATGCAACTATTAAAACGGCTAATGAAAAGTAAATTAAACTTGATAGTGAAACAAATATAATCCCTCTTGCTGGAGAAATTCAATTTGAAAACTGGGAGAATGTTGATTAATGGCAGTAACTTTGCAGCAAAAAAAGAAAAATACAGAAGTTGAGCTGCAACATGCAATTTCAACACTCGATATCAAGAGAAGAGAACAGGGACAAATTGAACCTGGAAAAGGTGGAAGGTTAAATGACTTTACATTTTGTGTATTGTAAAAAAAATATGCACATGCACTGAGCTGTGTTAAGCTCCTAAAGAATTGGAAGTAATTTGGAAAATAAAGGAGACCAGTTAATGCTGACAGTTTATGCAGATTATCTAAATAATGTGGAGGTAGAGTTGGATAATATTGCAAAAAACAACAGTAAACTCCAAGATGTAATAAACTGAAATGATCTAATCCTGGAGATTTTCATGAAATCCAAATTAAACTAAAATATTTTTGAATAGTCATGGTTCCTGTGCTCTATTCAAATTTGGTTTTATTTGGAGGAGGTCGTCATAGGAAACTACCCATTTAGTGTTTCTCAAGGATGAGTAAAGCTGATTTTGTCAGCTTAAATAATGTGGGTGAGGATGTAATTGCATTTTGCTTGTAAATTAACAGTAAAGGTCTAGAACTAGAAGTCACAGATGTAACAATGCCTCCACTCGAATTTGAATGGGCTTACGGTCAGTTGGATGACACCACAGGAGCAGTATGGAGACATTTTCTGTTTCTCTGTTGTTTTATAAATCTGAAGAAGTGGTCTACCATACTTCAATTGTATTGGATTTGGCTTCAATACTGTTCATCCTTGAAACCGCGAAATGTTTTGTGTGACTCAAACTCTTCACCCACTTATTTTGCATCTCTCAAGTGTTAGAAACGTTAATGACACACCCTTCCTTCTCACGTTGGCTTCCTTGGATATTCTGCAGCGTTTTTGCTAGGGGCCTGGTCGGAGAAAGTATGCAGAAAGTTCGGAGGCTCTCACTCTAAACATTTTTGTGCACGCATACAGCCCTTCTTGAGAATGTCAGGAGGATCTCCGGAATTCAATGCATGTCTGAAAGCAGTTTATGTCAACTTAAAAAGATTATATTAGTGTTATGGTCACAACTTGTTTCCACTGTCACAGTTTGAAAGAATATTCTGAGCTTTTGCTGCTCCTTCATGCATCAGGGCTGCTGTTTGCCACAAAGTGACTCAGAATGGTTGCGGCTCCAGTTGCTGTCACGGTTTGGATTTAGTCTGCTCTGATACTGTCTCAGCTGTACACAGCAACACGTATGCTGTATACAGAGCCGTCCATGACTTTGTCTGTGATCTGTGTGGGGACAGTGAGCGCATCAGGGATAATCCTTCTCTCAGCAGCATCTCATGGTGTTTTTGGTGTCCCCACAGTGCTGTTTTGATGGAACCCAAAGCCCCATAAACCTTGGTGAGGGCAGGGAAGTCATCGCAGTCTGAGCCACGGTGCTTTGCTGTAGATCACAGAGGTCTCGTCAGGCTGTGTGTCTCCGTAACATGATTATTCAGACTATATCTGCTGTGTCTTTGTCAGCCCTGAGCGGAGGCTTTAAAGCCGTCTTGGGGGCAGCTGGCATGGCAAACAAAAAAAATCTCCACTTTTCACGCCGGTGGTGGTTTGTTGTGAAGTCTTATTTAACATCTCCCCAGATGCAGCATCTGCCGCTTCAATCTGTCCTCCCTCTGGGGAGAAGAATTAATATTTGTCAGTGTTTGTTCTCTCAGTTTTAATCCCTGGTTTCTATGCTTGTTGTTGTTTATCTTGGGTTTTCCTACAGGATGTGGTGGTGGCCTCTGGCTTCACTGTGACCAAATCTTCCACAGTTTCTGAGCACAACCTGCACCCCTGTAATCTGCTGCTGTCAGGAGACGACGCCTGTCTTTATGTGAGCACTTTTATATACATCCAAGTTATGTTTGATGCATGTATGTATGCATATGCAGTTTGAACAGGATCCCTCCTTGTGTAGTCTACTCTAGGACTACTCAAGTACAACTTTGAGGCACTAGTATTTTACTGAAGTAAATGTCCCTATATTTTAACTCTGCTGAATTTTAGAGGGAAATATTGTACGTTTTACTCCACTGCATTTACCTGACAGTTGTAGCTGCTAGTTAACATTCAGATTAAGATTTGACACTTTTCTGTAAAATTAGCATTACTTTGAACAGATATAAATACTGCTTGGACGTTATTTCCTCTGCCAAGGAAGTTCTGCTTTGACTCTATCCGCTAAACATACTTTAAGTATTAAAATGTAGCCTGTTCCCTAATGAAACGGGCTACTACATCATTATAGATCAGTGTTGACAGTGCCTCTTTCAAGTCCATTTGATGTGTTTCTTCATAAGTACTGCTATGCATTATAAATATGTAGTGGAATAGAGTGTACAGATAACTTCTTTCCTCTGGCTGTCGCTCTGATGAACACTAATCAGTCACATGGTGTCAGGTGTCCGTATGCAATAATCCGGTAGCTATATTTATATATATATATATATGTGTGTGTATATGTGTATATATATTCCACCTGCCTCGTGAATATAAAGTATCCTGTGACAACCTTTCCATATTATTTAAGCATCATTGCACTACACTTGTGTTTTATGTTCATATATATATATATATATATATATATATATATATATATATACTTTTGTGTGTATATATATATTTACATCTGTATATAGTAGTTCAATGTTTATGCCTAATCTTGTTCTGCTTTGTTGTCCTTCTTTTTTGTTTATTTGAATATTTCTGTGTATTTACGTTGAGAGCAACGGAAAGACTTAGTTAATATAATCCCACTCTCCTTCCTCCTTTTGTCTTTTTAGTTTTCTGCTTTTCCTCCAGCAGCAGTAGCATCTGCAGTGTGTCTGCTGCGGTGACTGTTGACTGAAACACATCATTGAGACGTTTGTTCACATCTCTGTCTCTATCCCTCAGGTGTCCCGCCTGTCGCCTCCTCCTGACCCCAGATCCCCATTGGCCAACAAGAGAAGTGCCACACTTTCCTCAGAGGTCAGAGTCAGAGGCCTGGTTAACTGCAGAGGCTGCTGGGAGTGGTGCTGTTGAGGTCTTGTATCTGTCAGGACACTTTATGTCTGACTGTCCCAGAGTCACCTCAGCTGGATCGGGGTCTCACAAGACCTCTTGGTCTCTGCTGCAGTGATGATGAGGGGAGGAGTTGTGACAGTGTTTGGGGAGGTCTCCAAACCTCTGAAAATAACAATATTAATTCATGAATAATATCTTCTTTTTTTGTATGTACAAATCTGAATCAGCCACATGTGCATTGCATGTAGCTAATTGGAATGAAAAAGGGGTTATGAGAATAGTCTATAGTACTGCGATGAAATGTTGCATGCAATGATACGATTAGATTAGATTAAGATTACATTAGCATTTACTTACTCTCCACATGTGCTGTACATTTACTCTTTTAAGTGCAGAGGCTTATATTTTATCAGGGTTTTTGTCCTTTGACCACTGTTGTACTCTGTTCTGACTTTTTACACTTAAATTTTTTTCCCTGTATTTTATGGAAATATTACAAACAACAAAATCACCCTCAACAAGGGCAGGACACTATACTTTTATTATATACTGTTTGTTTGGGAATTTGACAGACTTATTTTGCACAAACAATTTGTGTACAAAAGAACAAAATAGAAAAAAAGAGCAGAGTAGACACTTAAGAGCAGACATGCACACAGAAGCAGCATGAAGAGCAATAGAATCAATTGATCATTGATTTTAATCAAAAATTTTCATGAATTTTTGTTGTATGAAAAATAACATGACAGCCTAACATGTCAGCCTGCAGCAAACATTGAAGTCAGCTCGGAATTCTGGGTAATGACACTGCAGAGATGAGCTGTTAAAAATTCAGTTGTATAATAAAATATGCATACAAATTTCTTTACAACTCTAGGAAGTAGAATATTAAGTTCATAACGAATTAATAAAATGGAGCACCTGTGAGGTGTAGCTATGATTTAACATTTTCAAACAGAATGAATGAACAGACAGAAGAACATACACTGTTTGAGAATATATGAGATTTGAGATTTTCATAAGCTTGTTATCAAAGTTTTAAGACTTGAGTTAAGATTTAAGATTTGAGTTTGATCTCTACTGTAGAATACATTCTGTTAAAAAGTAATGATTGAATAGATTTTCCTCTGGTTTACTTCTGTTTGAGAAGAGGTAAATTTTTTCAGATCATCGTTATTCTCTCCAAAAATCACATCTGACTGAGGAAATGATAAGAGCTGGAAGAAACTCAGTTGCTGTGTTCGTTGGTTTCAAGAAATGATGCTTATTTGGACACCAAGGTTAAATAAAAACTCTCAGAAACTGAGAGTAAGAAGCAATTGAAACTTCCATCCAACTTAAAATCTGTCTCCATCACAGTCTGCTCCCAGTCCCAGACTGCTTACACACATCCTTATACAAATGCATACATCATATAGCATAGCATGCTGACTACCACTGTTAATTATTTTTATGGTTTCCTTAGGTTTCCAGAAATACCAAAACCCCCAAATATACATATGAAGGACTGGGCAACCTGAAGAGTGGATCAGTCGTCAACGTGTACGGAGTGGTGGTCTTCTTCAAACAGCCGTTCAAGAGCAGGGGAACAGGTCAGTGTGATCCTCAGCCCAAAGGATGGTCAAAAATATGACCAAATAATAAAGGGTCCAAAAGAATATACAGAGTCTGTACTGCTGGTTAATATTGGCATGCTAACGTGCTCACAAAAACAATGCTAAAATGCCGATATTTAGCACGCAAGTCAGACAGACATTGAAAAAAATGTCAACAGTATAAAAACTATTTTAAACCACAATAAACTCTGTTAATTAAATATTACAACAACTCAAATACAAAATCATGTTGTAATATTTCAGTAACAATATTCTCAATATTGTCTTGTTTCTATAATGCTTAAAATAGCAACAAGTTTGTCAGTGTGTGATAAGCATTTCAAACCAAACAGCCGAAAACATTTTCAACCGTTTCAGCACCATGGACAGAGACTTTAGATCTCCTGCAGCAGTGTTACAGATTTCTTTTGGGGGGGGGCAAGCTTTTAAAAATGTAGGTATTATTATTATTATTTGAAAATGTTCCTGGAACATAAAACATAAACCACATCACCTCCTTTGAGAAGAGAGAACCTTTTATGAAGTGATAAAAGTTGGATCAGTATTGAGCCAGAGCACAAACACAAACTCTGCATCAGAGGTTTATTCTGATGAAAATGTCTAATCACGTCTGTAACACACTCAGAATGGTATATAGAGGTGGAGAGGAGTTGGCCCTAAACCCAGAAAATATATG